CTAAATTATTTGCCCAATGTAGGTACTCAATAAATATTTGTTATTCAACAAGTGATCTGGAAGCAAATGGCTGAAAGATTCTGGAATATAGTAGTAGGAAAGAAGAGTTGAAAATACAGTAAAATAAGAAAAGTCATGTGGCCGGGCAGTGGTGGCATACACCTTTAATCCCAGGATTTAGGGGGTAGAAGCAGGTGGATTTCTGAGTTCGAGGCCAGCCTGATCTACAGAGTGGAGTTCCAGGACAGCCAGGGCTATACAGAGAAACCCTGTATCAAAAAAAAAAAAAAAAAAAGAAAGAAAGAAAGAAAGAAAGAAAGAAAGAAAGAAAAAAGAAAATGAAAACAAAAAAAAGAAAAGTCATGTGTGCCACACCACTACCCCCGTCCCACCCCCACCCCTTGCCTCAAGACACCACTGGGCCCTGGCAGGGATGGTGGCAAGCCCAAGCTCAGATTCAACAAAGGAGAACCTGAGAGAGGAGTCAGCTGGACTTCTGCCTCTGTGTCCTCAGGGAGCACACACAGCCCTTCTGAAAAGATTCCAGGACAACAAGAAGCCAGGTAAAAGAAACAGGGAGGACTCATGGCCAACGAGTTTGCTCAGATCTAAAGACATCTACCCCAAGCCCAGGCCCCGCTTGACCAGATGGTTCCGGAGAAGCCTTAGCATCTGTCCCTCCATAAATTATCCAGTTCTCCTTCCTGCCAGTCTTCTCCGGTGACAGCCGGAACAATTGTCCAGGAATTCCATCTGCTACTCCTGCACGGTCCCCTGTACAGTTCATCAACATTTCATAGCACAGAGGTATCCCATTTCCCTGGCCCAAGATGGAAGCTGGGTCAGTCCCTGGGTGAGCTGATTTCCAGTACCCTCCTCCATCAGCACACACAAATAAAACCTCCCAGAGGATCCCAGGTCTCTAGAGGACAGAGTCCCACATCTTTTTCTTTCTTTTTGTTTTCATTTTTTTATTATTTAAAAAACATCAAAAACAAAAAACGGGGTCTCTCTGCATAGCTCTGACTGTCCTGGAACTCACTATGCACACCAGGCTGGCTTCAAACTCAGAAATACACCCGATTCTGCCTCCCCAGTCCTCAGATTATAGGTAAGCAGCAAAACGCCTGGCTAGAGTCCCACATTTTATTTCTCACGCAACCCCCTTGCTCTTTTTACTACCTATAGTTTCGAAAACAAATAAAATTATACTGATTAAATTGATCACATAGATTTTTGTTTGTTTGTTTATTTGTTTGTTTTTCCTGAAACTCAAAATAAAGGGCTGGAGGTGTGGCTCAGGGGTAGTTTTCATAACAACTATAACTTGGCTTAATTAAGGACCCGTTTCAATCCTTCCCACCCAAACCAAGACAAACTGACTCCCGGCCATTACACAGCTCCACTCGGGGAACTTTAAAATGTTCACTCAGCACTTTTAAAATGAGATGTGTGCTGAGAGGATAGCACAGGTTCAAAATAAAGATACATTAACTTAAAAAAAGAGTTTAAAAACAGAACTTTTAGCCAGACCATGATGGTGCACGCCTTTAATCCCAGCACTCAAGAGGCAGAAGCTGGTGGATCTGTGTAAATTCAAGATCAGCCTGGTCTACAGATAGAGTTCCAGGGCAGGCAGGGCTTGTTACACAGAGAAAGCTTGTCTTGAAAATAAGTAAATAAACAAATAAAAATAACAATGATAATAATAATAATAAATCGTAATGATAATGATAATAATAACCACAGGCTGAAATTTGAATCCAAGAGGTCGCTGTACCCCTCTTTGTGACCTTGGTTGGTCACACAGAGCACCTGAATTAGTTCAGTTCTCTGCTCTATAGCGGTGTCAGAGATGATTTCACAGCCAGATGTGTTGCCGCATCCTTACAAACCGTATCACTTGGGGGAGGGGGAGGGGTCTGGAGGGAGGAGGGTAGAGACAGGAGAAGATGTTCAAGCTCATTCTAGGCTACACAGAGTCAAAGACAAACCTGAACTACACGAGCCCCCATCTCAACCCCCCCCAAAAAACAACCAAAAGATCATTTCAAAACTCCAAGAAGGTGGCCATCGGCTCATTTCCTAAGGTTTCAGTTTTCCACAGCTCCTTCCTAACTTCCTATTAATGGAGTCTACGGCCACCATTCTGGTGCAAAAAAGTTTTGCTACGTACACTGTCTTTTTCCAATCTTAGGACACTGAGTTTGATGGGAGGCTAAGAAATATAATTTTAGCTGCTCTCTCTCAAAAGAAAGCAAAAAACAAAACAGAAGAAAGGAAGAAAGGCCACAGTTCCTCCAGGAGCCCAAGCCCACATGTGGGTATGTCGTACTTGCAGTGACTTTCTTAGAGAAGACTAAACATGTCTTTGGGTGTGTTTTATGTAATCTCAACATCCAAGAGATGGAAGCGGAAAGATTGCCTTGACTTCAAGGACAGCCCGGTTTCCGTACAGAGCTTCAGCCTGTGCTACGCTGTCAGACCCTGACGTGTGCACAGGATACCCTGGCTTTGAGGACACTATGATAACTGAGACCAGCTAGTCAAGGACGGCTGGGGCCACGCTGGTGGCACAGGCCTGTAAGCCCGATGCTTAGGCACAGGGATCGATCAGATCACAACGTCAAGGGCAGCTTCGGTGACTTAGTGAGAGTGTGCCTTAAAGCAGAAAACACAAAAGAGGATCAAAACTGTAACCCAGCAATAGGATACTTGCTTATTATGTGGGAGGCTCCCAGCACTATAAAAAAGATATAAAAATATAAAAAATACATGATGGCTGTTATTTTAGTGACCTAGTAGTCACATTTACAGAGATAGAAATGGATCCTGTCTGGCTATGCAGCCAGCAGTAGAGGCAGGATGATTCTAAGGTACCATCTCTGCCAAATCAGCAGACCATCCTCCATCCATTCCAGGTCAGTGTGTGGGACTCGGCCTTGGAAATTCTGCTCTCTTGTGAACTAAGCAGCTCTTTCTACAGGAAAGGCAGAGAAGGAAGCTCCAGGTTCTGGAAGCACACGGAAATGACATCTGGAACAGCTGCTAAAGAGGCTGAGCCAGACCCCCTCAGACCTGGGTCACCCCCTCATCCACCCTAGGCAGTGCACGTGAACACTTGGTACTGCCGTGACTTACATTCGCTGTCTGGATAAGCGGCTCCCCATCCTGCCAGGTCTGTGTGCATGTGTCTGCACATGCTTAAGGTCTAAATGGACCCATCCCCTCTCTTCCCATTTTAAAAAAGAGCATGTTCACCCTGTCATCAGGCATGCCCCTATTTCCCTATCACTCCTCAACACTTGATGCCCACACTCAGCATCCACCCTCGCCCAGGTTCCTCCCTTGCTGTGGACAGGAAATTCCAGGTACCCCAAGCATGGCACAACAGGTACAACAGTCCTTGAGGCACACAACAGGTTCCAGTAAAACACACACACACACACACACACACACACACACACACACACTCGCTAGCCAAAAGTGGGGAACAATGGCTGGACTTGGATTTCAGCTCTTGAACAGCTGGCTCTGACGCTGCTTCTGAGGTAGGATGGGGGTGGGTGGAAAACAGGAAGCAGCCAGAGGGAGGCTGCTTACAACATTTGTTGTAGGACCCAAGGGCCCCTCTGCTGGCAGACTGCCCCCCTGAAAGGTATACTCCCTGGATAAGTCTCCCTCTGAGCACCACCAGCTCAGCCCCCACTCTAAGGCCTTCACTGGACTGGCTAGAACTGGCTTAGAGAAAAACAGGACAGCACAAGCTGGTAAACTGCCCTAACTTGGTGAGAACAAAGGCCTGATCTACAAGCCCTCGGAACTCCTCCAGGTCTAGAGCCTGTAGGAGCATCTGTCCCTCTGTTTACTAGGAGTACGTGGGCAAGCGAGAGGGTGTGTCTCCTCTTTTAGACTGTAAGGAGCTTGGCAAGGTCAGGGCTCATTGCTTTTCCCTATTTATACTAATTCATTCTCTCACTAAGTTGGCATTCATCACTAGGAATGACAGCACATGTCTGTAATCGCTTGAGAGATGCAGGCAGGAGGACTAGGGGTTCAAAGTCATCCACAGTTTGAGACCAGTTTGGGCTATGTGTAGACTGTCTCAAACATTGTGTGTGTGTCTCTGTGTGTGTGTGTCTCTGTGTGTGTCTGTGTGTTTGTGTCTATGTGTGTGTCTGTGTATGTATGTGTGTCTGTGTGTTTGTGTCTGTGTGTGTTTGTGTATGTGTGTGTATCTATGTGTGTCTGTGTGTCTGTGTGTGTTGGGTGTGTAAATAAGGGTAGAGTGCTTGCCTAGCAGACACAAGGCACTAGGTTCAACCCCCAGACTGCATAAGCGAACCAGGCACGATGTCAATGCCTGTAATCTTAGTACTCAGAAAGCAGAGGCAGGAGGATCAGAACTCAGTCATCCTCAGCTACATAGCCAGTGTGAGATCAGCCTGGGTTGTATAGGATTCAGCCTCAGAAAAAGACATATAAGGAATACTCATTGGGCATCTGGCACTGAGCGGGGGGGGGCCCGGGCGGGAGTGCCTCTCTGTGCCTACCTACAGAATCTACCATCGTGTAAGATTCTGGCAGCCAAAGAGGAAAAATCTTCATGAGTAGGTCAATAGAATGAATGAGTGACGGGTTCTTATTGTCTTGTATCTGTAGTTCATTTGGTAACTAATATACAAGACTTTTTCCATGAAAGGGAGCCTAGGATGGGCGAGAGGGAGGAAACTCAAGAACTGTCCTCTCAGTTGGGAGTTAGGGAGGCCTAGAAGGATGAAGCTATGTTTCTGAGGGCCCAGAAAGACAGATACGCAGAAAAGATATGCTCAGGGGCTGTGGAGGCATCTTGACTGTTCTAGAGAACTGTAGCTATTGTCCAGGCCTGAGATTGAAGCCAGAAACAAGCCTGCTTTGACTAGTGATCACCACTATGAGCAAAGACCTTAATATCCCAAAAGTCATCTGGCTGCCGGCAAAATCTGTTCCCAGGTCTGCCAAAAACTACCCACTGAATTACGAATTTGGGCTTCATTCTTACTCAGAGACCAGCTACTCTTCTCAGTACAGTTCAAATTTTACTGTATATGCTGCTGACGTGAGCACGCTAGGTCAAATACAGAAGAGCAGAAAGTCAAGCAAGAGTTTGATGGCCATCCGCCAGTATGCTCCCACACCAGCTGAACCTGTCCCCTTCCCAGAGCATAGGTCAGCGGTCAGGCAGTCCTAAGCAGAGTGCCTGGGGTCAAATGCAGCTGTGACCACCACCTAGCATGGCCATAGCCGAATGACTGAAGCTCTCTCTCCGTGTCCATTTACCCATCTCTAAAAGCGGACTAAAAATAGCATCTGGCTCAGAGTTGTGGGTCAAATGGGTTCATGCACTGTCCTAGCTTTTTTCCCATTGCTGTGAAATTACTCTGACAAAGACAACTTAAAGGAGAAAGGGCTTATTCTGGTTCCCAATTACAGGTGAGAGTTCGTCATGCCAGAGAAATCAGAACAGTGAGAGTTTGAGGAGGTTGGTTACATTGTATCACACTCAAGAAGCAGTGAAAGTTTGAGGGGGTTGGTTACATTGTATCACACTCAAGAAGCAGAGCACACATGTTCCTCTAGCTTTCTCCCTTTGTACAGCCCACAGTTGAGGGGTGGTGCGGATGGTCCACTTTCAGTGTGGACCTTCTGAAATAACCTAATCAACATAATCCTTCAGCCACATGGCCAGAAGATAATGTCTTGAAGTGTTTGGAGGCTGGTCCCTAAATGATTGCAGAGTCTAGATAGTAACAATTAATACTAATTGTCACATACTCACAAAGTGCTCAGTCTAGTGCCTGATATAGAGGGTGATCTCTCACCAACAAGGACTCTAAGGCTCTGGAAGGTCACTGTATTACCTTCCTGCTGCTAGGACAGAATACTTGTGAGAAAAGCAACTTAAGAAAGGAGGAGCTGCCGGGCAGTGGTGGCACACGCCTTTAATCCCAGCACTTGGGAGGCAGAGGCAGGCGGATTTCTGAGTTCAAGGCCAGCCTGGTCTATAGAGTGAGTTCTAGGACAGCCAGAGCTACATAGAGAACTCTGTCTCAAAAAACCAAAAAGGGGGGGGGGGAAGAAAGGAGGAGCTGGGTTTTTTTTTTTTTGTCGTTTTGTTTTGGTTTTTGTTGTTGTTGTTTGGTTGGTTGGTTGGTTGGTTGGTTGGTTTATCGAGACAGGGTTTCTCTGTGTAGCTCTGGCTATCCTGGAACTCACTCTGTAGACCAGGCTGGCCTCGAACTCAGAAATCCACCTGCCTCTGCCTCCCAAGTGCTGGGATTAAAGGCGTGCACCACTACTGCCTGGCTAGGGAGCTGTTTTTTTTACTCACAGTTTGAGGGGGATACAGTCCATAATGGCAGAGAAAGCATGGCAGTAGGAGTTTGAGGTCGCTGGCCACATGGACTGTATTGTCAGTGTGTTAGTCAGGGTTCTCTAGAGTAACAGAATTTACAGAATAAACATATGCATATATGTGTATGTGTGTACTTGTGTGTATACATATGCATATACACACACATAAACATATCTACACACATATATACATATATACATATATATACATATATGTGTACACACATGTATATGGGTATATATGTATGTATGTATGTATATATGTGTGTGTGTATATATATGCATATGGGAGATTTATTAGAATAACTTATTGGCTGTGATCCTGCTAGCCCAACAATGGCTGTCTATGAATGGAAGGAACAAGAATCCAGCAGTCGTTCAGTCCACGAGAGTGGATGTCTTAGCTGGTATATGCTGGCAAAACAAAGAAGTAGCCTGTAACGCCAGCGAAGGAAAGGCCTTGCTAGTGAGGTGAGGGCAAGCAGGCGAAGAGAGCAACTTCCTTCTCCCAGGTCCTTTATATAGGCTTCCGGCAAGCTGTGACCCAGACTAGAGGTGTGTCTTCCCACCTCACAGATGTGGGTCGGAGTGGATGTTTCCATTTCAAACGATTAAGCAAACCCCTCACAGGTGTATCCAGCCATCTAGGTTTTAGTCAATTCCAGACGGAGTCAAGTTGACAACCAAGAGTGGCTATTACGAGTCTACCTCTTGCCAACTTGACACACAATCATATCTTTTTACTTTGTGCTTTATTTCCAAATGAAACAATAACCAGGTCATAGTTATGACTAATGTGATATAACTATCTCACATAAATCGAAATGCATTATATATTTAATCAGCTCATAATTATGACTAACTTTTATGACTATCTGCCAAACAAATGCATTAGAAGTTTAGGATAGGTAGCAATGTCCCTTGAGGGGCTTTTTTCTTTCTTTTTTTTTTTTTTGTATTTCAAGCATAAATATGTTAACCATTGATATTCTCTTAATTGATATATGTTACATCATATGATAGAGAAATTTTAAAAACCCACAAATATCTGTACAAACATTTTAAATAATTTCTTTAATTTTATTTTATGTGCATTTGTGTGAGTGTGTCAGATTCCCTGGAACTGGAGTTACAGACAGTTGTCAGTTGCCATGTAGATGCTGGGTATTGAACCTAAGTCCTCTGGAAGCGTAGCTACTATTCTTAACTGCTGAGCCATCTCTCCAATCCCACAAACACATTCTTAGCAAAATACAACAGAATGGTCATAGCAAGTCTTGGCTCTTTTCCTGGAGAAGTGACCCCTACCTTTATTCCTAAAGGGCCTGTGCCTTTTGTCATCCTGTCTGGATTAGGCTGTTGTAGTTTCCCATTGACTTTAATCACAGGACACGGTAGCACCAAGAGTCACCCTAAAGGATCTCCTGCAATCCAGACATAATCTTTCTTACCTCCATTGTGAAGCAATCCAATTTCCCCATGGTAGTCTGTATTTGTCACCCCTCATAATACCGTTTACTCCTTTCTTAGCCTGTTGGTTTAAGGACATTAGGAGCCCAAACTTGCCAGGGGGAAGTCTAAGTTCAACAGAATTGCTTGTTGTAGCTCCTGGAAGGAGCAAACCCCTCTCTAATGGAACCAAAATTTTTAGGCCAGATGAACTCAAGATCATGGGAACAGGAAGCAAAAATTCCCTAGTGGGTCACTAGGAGTGATAGTGAGTGGAACTATTCCCTTTCTCACACCTTGAGTCCTGGCTACGGAAGAAACCATACCATATATTGGATGGTGATTCAAAGCATATACTGCCTTTTAGAGAATTGTGCCCCAGCTCTCCAGGCTGATGCCACCCAATTGACATTGCAACTATGTCTTCAAAAGGTGGTCCATGCCCCTCTACCCCTCACTGCCTGCAGCAGGCAGGAGAGAGGACCCTGAGGTCACGAGAACTGGAAAGCTGTCTCTGCCTTTCACTGGCTGTGGCACTAGGGAGAAAGGGCTATGCAACTTGCCTGGTGGCAACAGCATGGGTGAGCCAGCCCTTAGAGTATTAGAGGAGGAGCAGGCCTCACCCCCTCACCAACTGTAGCACTTGGGTGAGCTAGCCAGAGTAGTGCTGGAGAACCCACCCTGGCAGATTGATCAACTCAGCTGTCACCCAGGCCCAGATCCAGGGCTTTGAGTTGGTCCACCCCAACAGCTACCTCATCTATGAACTCCTGAAGTGCATGAAGGACCAGGTCCCTACAGAACCAAAGCCACCGGATCTCCATGACGCAGGGCAACAACGGGATATCCTAGAGGAATCCCACTGAGGATTCAGAATTGATGGTAGAGCAGAAGCCAGAGGCCTCAAACCAGACCAGCGACTCACTGCAATGAATATTTGCAAAGTGAGTTGTTTGGACAAAAGTGTGGACTGTGGGACACATGGTGATTCAATGAAGCTTCCACAGTAAGATTTTGTTTTGTTTTGCCAGAGAGACCGCAAGGGCAGAGGGCAGTTATGAAGGGATGGGGAGAGGAATGGAATTGGAGCACATGATATGAAATTCACAGAGAATCAATCAAAAAATTTAAAGGGCGTTCCATCTTTCTATCAGGCCCGCTGCTCCAGGAAGATGGGAACATGCTAAGACCAGTGGATTCCATGATCCTGGGCCCACTGCCACACTTCTCTGGCTGTGAAGTGATTTCCTTGGTCAGAAGAATAGTGTATGGAATACCATGATGGTGGCTAAGACAGTCCATGGATAGTGGTTCTGGCAGAAGCATTTCATGCAGGAAAGGCAAATCCATAACCAGAATAAATATTTTCTCCAGTAAGGACAAAATGTTGTCCTTTCCATGGAGGAAGTAGTCTAATGCAGTCAACCTGCCACGAGGTCACTGGCTGGTCAGAAAGATCACAATTAGAGAGTTGGTGAGAAAGATACCTGAGGAAGAAGTATATGAACAGATCTCTCTCTCCAAATGAGCGAAGGATGTAAAAATGCATGTGTCCTGTGTAAATGCTCATCAAAAGGTGACTTCTGCTGAGGAGGAATTCAATAATCAAGTAGACAAGACGACCCATTCTGTGGACAGTCAGCCTCTCTCTCCTCAGCCATCCCTGTCATTGCCTAATGGGCCCAGGAACAGAGTAGCTGTGGTGGCAGAGATGGGGGCTGTGCATGGGCTCAACAACATGGCTGATCTGGCGCCAGCTGCTGCAGTAGTCACTCAGCCAGGAAACAGAGGGAGATCAGCGTTGACGCCATATTTCTCTTCTTTTCCCGTTTTATTTAGACCAGGACCCCAGCTTGTGAAATGGTGCCACTCACTTTAAAGGTGGGTTTTCCCTCCGTAGTTAAACCTCTCTGGAGATGCACAGGTGGAAATGACTAGCACTGCTTCTAGGTGATTCTAAGCCAATAAAGTTGACAAGGTCAATTCACTACCCCAGGCACCCAGCTACAGGGAGTAGAGCTACGATGTAAAGGAAGTCTTAGTGCTCTTTAATTTTTAAATTACATTATTTGTGTTGTGAGCTTTCGTGAAGGCATGTGTGAAGGTCAGAGGACAATCTGTGGGAGTCAGTTCTCTCCTTTCACCATGCAGGTATCTGTTCAAATTCAAGTCACCAGCTTGGTAGCACGAATCCACTGATTTTTTTTTTTTTTTTTTTTTTTTTTTTTTTTTTTTGTGAGGAACGGTGACTGACGGGATAACTT